ATCTCTTTGGTCAAAAATGTAAACTAATTAATCTTACTTAACTAATGATTCAAATATTAAAAAGTGGGTTAATATGATTTGCGGCTTTCGGTGGGGGGATAAAAGCTGGTACTTGGCTACTTGCATTCTTCAAGAGTTCTTACTTTTTGTCAATTTGCTGATGTTATTGATTTTTTATAATAATTAATAATTATTGTTGTCTTTAATTATTAAGTCAAAGTTTAGTGTTCCAAAATAAAAGACTCATTATTTCCTAGGAGTATTATTTTTGGGAAGATAATAGATAAAGAAGCTTCAAAAAGTGAAATGCCAATTTGGAAAGCTAAGGAAATGTAATTACAGATAGGGAATTCCTTCCCAAATTGGAATTTTGAAATTCAATAAAATGACAAAAATACCCTTTGTCCTTTTTGGAAAAAAAGAACCAGCCCCTCATTGGTGGCCTGTGACCGGCAGCCAGAGGCAGTGACAAGATATATTTTCTTTTTGGAATGAGATAACATTGGTTCAAAGTGGCGGGGGTGAGATTTGATCCCACAACCCCTTGGCCACTTGGACCAACAAAAGAGAAAATGGCCATTGGGCCATCAAAGATTTCTTAACTTATAATGCAAACAAAATATAAGTTGACTCTTTTACTATGACTCCAACCCGTAACAACAATTTATCTAAGGATCACAAGTCTTAATTGAGAAATAACAAGTCTAAACTTGATATTAACAAGGCAACTTTTCCTTATACATAACAAGAAATAGCATGTATGTTAATTAAAAATGACCATAATTTATTTGAAAATAACACGTCTTTACTGAAAAATAACAACAATTTATTCGGTATTTCTTGTTATGTATAAGGAAAAGTTGCCTTGTTAATATCAAGTTTAGACTTATCATTTTCTAGTAAAGATGTGTTATTTTCAAATAAATTATGGTCATTTTTAATTAACGTACATTCTTTGTTAATATCAAGTTTAGACTTGTCATTTTTCAGTAAAGACGTGTCATTTTTAAATAAATTATTATCATTTTTAATTAATGCACATGCTGCTATTTGTTATGTATAAGGAAAATTTGCTTTGTGAATATCAAATTTAGACTTTTTATTTCTCAATTAAGACTTGTCATCCTCAGATAAATTGTTGTTACGAGCTGGAGTCACAGTAAAAGAGTTAACTTATATTTTTGTTTGCATTATAAAGTTAAGAAATCTTTGATGGCCCAATGACTATCTTCCTTTTTGTTGGTCCAAGTGGCCAAGGGGTTGTGGGATCAAATCCCACCCCTGCCACTCTGAACCAATATTATCCCATTCCAAAAAAAAATCTTGTCACAAAAATCCTTCACTGACAGCCACCACACCGGTGGCCGAAGGCAGTCGGCGGCCATCGGAGGCCATTTGCCGGCGGTGGTCACCGGTCGCCAGCCACTAGTGAGGGGCTGGGTTTTTTTTTAAAAAAAAAGAACAAATGGTATTTTTGTCATTTCACTTAATTTCAAAATTTTAATTTGGGAAGGACTTCCCTATATGTAATTACATTTCCTTAGCTTCCCAAATTGACATTTCACATTTTGAAACTTCTTTATCTGTCATTTTCCCATTATTTTTTAATAGTTTAAAAAATTTATTAAATACTCTTTCCTCTCCTTTATGTAGGACATTTACATTTTAATCACCAAATTGAGCATTAACTTTTTTAGGACTACATCTTTTCCAATCTTGTAACAGTACATTCAACTATGAGACAGGATTTGCTTTTCTTTCTTTTGTTTTTAAATAGAAAAATTTGGGAAAAAGAAGTTACAGACAAAATTAATAATTTAATTGTCTCTCTTGTGCTATGAATTAGTTATAAGCAATTTATATAAAAAGCTGGAGAGTACTCATCTATTCTGTAATATAAGAGTTACTTATTTAAAATGAATAGATTAAGAAATATAACTAAGTTACTTAATTCTAATTAATATAGCATTATCTCCTTAAAATATCTTTATACAAATTAGATTACGTGTTGGTTTATATTCAAGATCAAAATTGATTTTTTAATTGGCTCCCGTATTTAGAATCTTGGAGTACTACCTTATGAATTCCTAACTTTAAAAGCCAAATAATTTTTTTTTTGGGTTACCAAAGCCAAATAAAGTTAGGGGTTAAAATTCAAACCTACTTATAAAATTTTTTTCCATGTACATCTAATCCAATAAATATTTTTTGGGTGTAAGTGTAACATCACACATTAACATTTGATTTTCAAATTGAGCATAAATGTTACTCCTCCGGTCCTTATTATAAGACCCCATTTAACTTTTTATTTGGTCCTAATTATAAGACCCTAATCCATTTTGTCTATTATATTTATGCATTTTTTTTTCAAGATAATCCTTCTAATAATGATAGTTTTAGTCAATATACTTAATTAGCAAGGATATTTTAGGAATGACAACACTTATTTATTATAAATAACCAACTTAACTTACTTCCTTAATCTCCTCAAATAAGTCAATTGAGTTTTATAATTAGGACCGGAGGAGTATATCCATTAAATATGTCCAATGTCCATTACTTTACGGTATCTGAACATGGCCCCATCACGACAGTCGCTAAGTATAAGTAGTAGATATGACATTTTTGCTCCATTTAAAAATGCTCATGATAATATTTATGATATCAAATACGCTTGGGGGAATATTTCACAGGTAAATTTATATCTAAACTCTAGATTTTCTATTTGAACAATACTACCTCCGGTCTTTAATATAAGTATATGTTTGACTTTTATTTTGATTTAAAATATAATATCCAAATTCACTTTGTCTCTTATATTTATGTATTTTTTTTTCTAATGTAATCCTTCTAACAATGGTAGTTCTAACTAATAAACTTGATTAGCAAGGAATTTTAGGAAAGATAACATCCATTTATTATAAATAACCAATTTAATTTCTTTTCTTAATCTCCTCAAATTAGTTAACTACTTCTTATAATTAGAACCTGAGGTTGTATATTAATATTGACTACAGAGCCAGACATCAAGCAACTCTATTCGAAGAGTTATGAAGAATTCGGAAAGGTTTCGACGCACTGGAAACAAAGAAAGAATATACAATTGCTGCTTTTGCCTTTGCCCTTAAAGGTCTGAGCAGTTTGGTCTGGCTTGGTGTTTTTATGCCTCAAAATAAAAATAAAAATATATAATTGCTGCTCAATGAGTGGTTTTTGGATTCACTTGAATTATTAACAGAAACGAAACCATGCAGTTCATCATCACGCAAAATTATGCTCTTGTGGCTAAATCATTAGAGAGCTTCAAGGCCTGGCTTAATAATAGTTATTACCTGCAAAATCATTATCAAGTACGGATCTATCCATCATCCTTCTTTCCTGGTTCACTTCAGTTATTTTATTTTAATGTTATTTTGATTTGATTTAGTGTTGAGCCTATGAGGACTCAAATAAACCAATCCAAAATCATTACTTTTTTTAAATTTTGGCCAATTGTATGTTGCATTAGATAAAAGGCAAATGTTAGTTATCGTTTGACTTAAAATTTTTTTAAAAAAAAATTTCTGAATCTTATCATGATGTGCTAATTGCAATTATGTATCCAGGTGGTTTTCAAAATATCTGTTCCATAATAATAATATATATTGTTCTAGTATTCATTTTTCTAAAAAAAAAATTCTAGCCCCCGCTTTGTTAGATATTTTGTATAAAAATTTAGTATAGTTAGATTTTTATTTAGAAAAATTCTAAATAAAGAAGCCTAAAATTATGATATTTCAATTGAGACACCTTAAACCTCAAAATAATAGAAAAAAGATAAACCCAAATTGAAATTTTGAATTTCAAGAAAAATTACAAAAAATGCTCATTTTTTTAAAGTTTGGAGCCCCTTCGCAGGGTTTTGTTGGCGGACGACCACTGTGGTAGCTGGCGGGCCTCCTGTCAATGCGGGAGCTCCGACACTAGGCACCTGCAAGGTGGCTACCATTGGGGCTTTTTATTTTTTGCAGGAGGATTTTAAAAAAAAAAAAAAAAAGGGGAGGGAAGTGAGGTTGGTGTGATTTGATTTCCCAACTTGGTGATTCCAAAAATTAAAGATGAATTGTTGTTATTTTACAATCAAGATTTTTTATTCTAAGATGAATTATTATCACTTTTAATTGACTTACAAGTTGTGTTAGGAAAAAAAACTATGTTGTTAATCCCAAATTCAAACATATCATTTTATAATCAAGACTTGTTATTCCTAGATGAACTGTTATCATAAGCTAGAGCCAAAATAAAGTAGTTAATTTTTTCTTTTGCTCCATAATATCAACAAAGTTTGTCAGTTCAGCAGCCACTCTTGATTTTGGAAACCACCGAGTTGGAAGATCAAATCCCACCAATCTCACTTTCCTTCCCTTTTTGGAAAAAAGAATTCCCCTTGCAAAAGAAAAGCCCCCCATTGGCAGTCACCGCACTTGTGCCGAGTAGGCTGCCTGCCGGCTGCCGTCAGGGTTCCAGCGAGGGGCTCCCCACTTTTTTTTGGGGGGGGGAATCAAAAGGCATTTTTTTAGTTTTTTTTACATTTCAAAATTTTAATTTTTTTTCTTCCTTTTTTTAAAATTTTTGGCCAAGGAAAAAATGTGAGCAAAAATAGGCCATGCCCAAAAGCCCAACCATTTCGGTTCATTTCCCTCAGATAAATCGGTTTAGCTCATTAGCTGGAATTGCCCTATTTAATTATTAATCTTAAATAATTTGCAACCTAGCCAAACTAACACATGCCCACCTCTAGTTAAAATTACGATTATTTCCTTTTCTAATTAAAATAACAGTAAACTCCTCGTGTAATGAATAAACCCTCAGAAATTTCACTACTACTCCAATTCACTTAACCTTCCAACCTATGAGTTGGCGAAGGGAAAAAACTTCAATCCATCAGCTGCTCTGTTACAGTCTTGAAAATGACCGTTAGTGTGCCACACGAAAATAACAAAATGTGAGTGCAAGAATCATAGAATAAAAATAAATATACGAATTCTATTAACCTCAAGTACATAGCCAAATACATCCATCCACCAAATAAACGATACAGGAAACAGTTTTACGTGTTAGAAGATGACCCTGCTAAGGTGAAAACTAAGAGGAACAAAATTTTCGAGCCACCCAAGGTAGCCACATATCATTTCTCGAACATGCGCAGCTAACAGTTCTCTGAAAAGAGAAATGTCCACAAAGCATATGATAAAAGCCTAACAACACTCTGCTCTCAGGCAAATTAATGCTAGGAACACAACTTTGAACTGGGAAAATCATAAGTGTTTTCCGTTACAATTTCAGCTCGACAACTTACTAATGTCTACCACAAATCCTGAACGGAACGGAAGGTTCCCTGAGCGACATTGCTCGAGTTTTGCCCTTTTAAACCGAGATTTCTCAGTGGCAATTTCTTGGAAAGGGTTTGGCCCACCAAAGCTATGCTTAAAGCGCCTTAACTTCTTTCTCTTCCCCATATCATATTCTTCATCCCTATAACATTTTAAAATGACCAAAGTTTAATTTGTAAATAGCAATACACAGTATGTATCAGCCAGTCCAGTGCGGTTATAGTAAAAGCACTGCAATATGCAGCAGCTTGTGAAAAAATGTAGAATGGAAAAATCATTGTGGCGATATGTTTAAATAAGAACATGTTTATATGTATAACAAATAATATAGCGCAGAATCAATATTTCTTGAAAAAATTAGTCCAAAATTACTACTCATCATAAAAAATTCCACCATACTGACATGTCCTGGAGACATTAAACATGTCATAACTTCCAATTTGAAAAGTTTGGCACCAAAATATGAAAAGCATAAAAAGATTTATCTGAAACACACATCAGAGTAACGTTTTTTTTTTAAAAGTGCGTGAACATGTGTATGCGTAGGTGGGCATGTATGTACATGCATGAGTCGTATGCGCTACTTGAATACGATATGGATTACTAAAAACAATACTACCTGCCATGTCATCATTGCTTACAGATAAAAGAGCATTTTAAAATTAGACTTACCATTCATCCCCAACATAGCCAATGCTCATGATCTCACTCTTTGACTCCTTGGATTGAGATGAAGGCAATTCTACATCATCCCAACGTGGAACTGTACCAAAATAAAGAACAGTGATGTCAGATATGAAGATACCAAGACTCAAATCAGGAACCTGGAGAGCAGCAATAAGAACTCACCCTCTAGACCTCGGGCAAGCTTACTCATCGAACTACTATGCATTTGTTCTCTGTTACCATCTCGTAGCCTATTGGGCTGTCTAGAATCACAATGGTTTGCAACTGAGCTATGCCCAGAGACCTTTTCTACATGCTTGGCAGTGGCAAGCACAGCACAGTCCTGATCAATCCTCTTTCTAAATTCTCCATTGGCAATATTTTCCATCACTGATTCACCACCAACTGAGTTCATAGACAGATGATTAGTAGCATGTTTATAAGATGATTTGGTTCCCACACTCCCAACACTACTTGATGGCCCTACATCTGAAGAGATATATTCATCCAGCTTTTCTTTATTTAGATTCTTTATATCAGAAGTCTGGCGTTCAATTTTTTTATTTTTCTTTTTCTTCCGCAAGCTAAAAGATGCCATCACAAGGAAGTTAGAGCCAACATGCAAACTTGAAACCCGATACTTCAAAAGTTTCTTCCTTGACTTCTTGATGCGTTTGTGGCTAAGGCCACCAATATCCATTGACCTTCTTCCTGACTTGTCAAGAACCAATGGTTGATTACCAACAACCTTTTCACACACTTGATTGCCTGATTTGTCACAACCTTCCGAACCAGTTGCAGAACCCCCAACCTACAAAAAAAAAAAAAGGGTAAAAAGAAAGTCAACCAAGCTCCAAGCAAAGTCCATTTTAAGGGGAAAATATATTAACCTGACAACTGCTATTGCTTGGTTGAATTAGAGAAATTGTAGAAGCAGTGCTTTTTGATGTATTAGCACTTGAACCTCCAAGCGTAGTAACACCATTAATCTACATGAAGAGAGAATCACAGTTTAGTAACCAATATAATTTTAAGAGCACCAAATCTGCCCCAAACTTATGTTAGCTAATGAAATGAAATCATCTACCTTCTGAGAGGTTTCATCTATCACAGGTTGAGAAGCAGCTTTTTCAGGGTCACTAACAGATGGTGCCAAGGAGAGAGTGTCTTTCACGTCCTCTTTAGAAACTCCATTCTCTTTGCCTTTATTTATAAAGTCAGTTGCCGAAGCAACTAAGTTTTTCATATTATGAGTGCAACTGTTGTTTACACATTCACCTAATGGCAACAAGCTTTCAGGTTCTGATTTAGCAAGAGGGGGCAATTCTAATGACTCTTTTTGAGCCGGTGGCTGAGAGCATGATTCAGATACAGATTGTTTATTTTGTATCAAGCAATCTTTTTGTGCCGGTGGCTGAGAACATGGCTCAGATACAGATTGTTTATTTTGTATCAAGCGATTTTTTAAAGGGCTATTTCTTTGCTGATTTGATGCATCCTTTGATAAGGAACCCCTCAAAGAATCAATATTTAATGAACTTTTCGGAGCTTCAGCAGACGAACATGTTTTGCTGAGTAAATTTTCTGTTTGACCAGTTAGAACCAATTCTTTCTTCAAAGCTTGGCTCGAATATACAGTAGCTTTACTTGCACTCACATTCACTTCTATATTCTCCTTCTGGGCTATGTCGACAGGTTTCTTTGAAACACTGCTTTTCCTATCCCGAACATAAAATAACATGTAAGCCTGCTGATTCAGAACTTCCCGCTCACTAACATGGCTCACCTGTTGTAACAAGTTACAGTAATGAGGAGCCCACAGAAGACAACAAATTAAAACAGACTAGTATCTTTCCACATGTAAATATTATTCTTTCCAAGCACGGTCATCAAAACAAAAGTTGAAAATGTATGCAGACCATTTTATAGCCAGTAGTTCACCAGCTGTTTTATTCAAATATAACTGAAGCAACAAAATGACAACTTATAGGTGTTATAGCTGTGAACAGAGTTTGAGAAAAACATGCATGCTACGTTCCCCTTTCCATGACAAAAAAATGGCTTCTTTTTCCCACTTCAACTTCATATTCAACTAAATCAGAGGCCAAGAACTCCATATAGAGATTGTTTTCCATACCCGATTGTCATCCAGGGTGTACCACATGTTATTTGCTGTGCGGACATAGCAGTAATAGTGACCAGAATGAGTGCTGCTGCCAGAATGAACCAGCACCCCATAAAGAGAATACGTTAAGTCTCCATCCTACCATAGATTACAGTTAAGAAAATGAGTTAACCATGATGATAATTTACAGATACATATAGAAGCCAATCAAACAACACAGCTCGACATTTCCCAATAAGCAAAACATTATTTGAGGATAGTTATCCCGGTGGAAAACACATTGTTACCTGACTTTAGTGTTGTTTTACTAGTCTATCTGGTTTATCCGTTATCTTTGCATAATTTCTATGGTTTATCTGTTATCTTCATGTGTCGCATGAGGTTTATCTGTTAACTCCATGTGCTTAGGACGACGATCTTAGGAGCGGGTAGTTTCAGGATATTAGGAAATTAGGAGACAGAATGAATGTTTCTGTTTTGCGTCTGTAACCAACTCCTTGCAGCTTTAAATATTGAGGGGGGATAAGCAATTCATTTTTCAGTGAATTGATGTTGTGTTTTTGGGTCCTTTCACCCTTTGCAATTCATATAAGGGCCATATGTCTATCATGTTATTTAATTTTAAGAAATTGGAAGAACAGCAAATAGCATATGGAAAGAAAGTGTTGCAGTTTTTATGTAATGAAAAAAGTTACTCACATAGGAGCCACTGACAAAAGGTTTCAAATCCAGTGCACAACCAAACTGAACTCTTTTCTTAATCTTTTGTCCAGGATCATGAGCATAAAACCGCTTTAGATGAATGGTCAGCACATATGGAGCCTTATGAATTGTAAGCTGTTTGAGAGCTTTAACTTTCTGCTTGCATCGTTGGCACTGATACTGCCTTTCTCCTCCATCTAACCACTCAGCAGCTGTGAAATTTGAAAGTGCCTTCTGCAATGAATCTGCCTTGAATATTTCAAGGCTTAAATCTAAGAATGGATCAAACTTGTTGGAGCAATTCAAGCATTGATGACATTTGACCTGGAAAAGAAGTCAAACTGTTTTGTTATTGTCAAGGAATAATCATCGAACAAGAACTGCCAAATCATTAAAATAAAGGTGTCCGTTTTACATAGATTCCCCCGTCATAACCAAACAATAGTTACTGATCAAGTTTCTCCAGAGAAACCTAGGAGTAAGAAAACCAGAGATACCTGACTACGGAGACGACCACCAAAGATCTTGTGAACCAAACTCCTCTCATAGGCACCAGGGGATTCACTTGGAACTCCAGAAGGCAGGCAGCATTTATGCATTGATTCAAGCAAGTTGACCATATACTCATGTGCATCCTCCTGCCTTGCATTTCGGAAATTCCGTGATATGCCTATCTCATTGTCAAGAAGGACAAATTCTAATACATCTTAAGAGGAGATTACTCTATATTTAAGAAACAATTAGTGACATTAACCTCACACGGCTTCACAATGCCTCAGCTAACATAATCTAGCGCATGGTCAACAAAAGAGAAAATAAAATGATGCTTCATACCATAATCTAATCAGCTGTTATTACACCCTAACAGAAGTAGCAGATATGGACATCATGACTGATGCAGAAAATATACGATATTTGTATTTTACAACATGTCAATTGTAAGTAATATTTGGAACGAAAAAAAAAATCATAACTGGCAACAAATCCTGACAATTTGTGGGCCAATGGACACCTTAGCATCCCAATAAGAACAACCATTTGTGCCAAGATCCTCCATTGTGGAAAAAGATTAAATTCACAAAAGAGCAGGAAAAAAATATAACAAGAACCACAACATTTGAAGATAGGCAGTTTAACCTCTTATCAATTTACCAACATTTTAAGCAAACGAAAAATTAGTTCTCTCTAACTGTCTATTCAAAAAGCAGAGAATCGAACACAAGGATACAGCGCAGGTTCATAACCAGATCCTCTGGAGATAATATTCTCCCAGTTGATTGGAGTGCACGACTGACATGATTCTGTATCGCGCACAATGCACAAAATCCAGCAACATGACCTACATTGATCATAAAATGTTAGTAGAAATTAAATGAAACAATACCCCAAAGCAAAAGGTGAACATAAATAAAGTACTTTATATAAAAATCTACACAAGATACATGTCATAGAATAGAATAGAAAATAAAGCTGAGCAGCTCACAAGAACTTTTATGCTTTCCACTTTGTAGATATGCAGCTAAAGGCTCCGTATATGTCAAACACTGCAATACCGAATTAAGGAAACAAGTGTTTCCTAAATTTCGCAAGCCAGCTCCCTGGAAATAACAAATAACGAGTTGTAATTGAGCCCAAAGACAGATAAGCACAAAACGTAAAATGCCATGTCCTTACCCAGAATAAACAAATGAAGAGCTATAACAGTATTAAATAAAAGAATTTAAAATTATGCTAGCATTGTGAAAAGTTTGAAGAGTGAACCCCCCCCCCCCAAAAAAATAATAAAGATTCAGCGCCCGTTGTTTTGCTATCGGTGGCACATGCTCCCTGTCCGAGCTTTATCTTTATTAACAATTACATTGTCCCATTTTCTGACACGGCAATCAAGTTAATTGAAAAGAAGGAAAAGAAAGCAGCTGAAGCAAATGAAAAGCAATCAAACTGAGGTGATCGCACAGGTAATTCTTGGAACGGTAATCCCAATATCAAGAAGCAGTCATGAAAACAGAAGGCATGCCAACTAACGAAGTTCAAGGGAAGACTTGAATAACGAAGGTGGGAAGTAGAGAGGAAACGGAAATTAACGCGTTTCAGCTTTCGCTCCTGAAAAAGGAAAGATGAAGAGCATCTCTATTTGAACTGACTTTCATCCCAAATTATTAACCTTCACACTGTCCCATTTTCAGCTGTGGCAATCAGGTTAATTAAAAAAAAAAAACAAAGGAAAGAAGCTAAAGCAGATGAATTCCAGTGAAGGACGGACTCACAATCCTTCGAACGGTAATCCCAAAACTGAGCTCCGGATCCAAACCAAAATCAAAGAATTCGGAACCATCGTGCTTCTTTCCAACCGAACCGGAACCAGGTCGCCGAGCTTCAGATGAGCTGACGGGGTTTAAAGTCTCGAGCTTAAAATCACTCCCGCCATCGGAAAATCCTTTGAAGGGCTTCTTCGCGGGAAGAAACTCGATTCTACGGCTGAATAACACCGACCCGTTAGAATGATCCGAACCAGAATCCAATGGATTCTTGGTCTCTGTACCTGCCAACAGGCTCTCCACCATCTTCACAACAAAACCTCGAGATTTCCACGGAACCACCAATGTTACAAAATGAATATGAACATACGCGTAAACGCGAGTTTTCTTGATGAATGTGATAGGGTTGTAATTCGCGCAGCTTTGTGGGGGCGTGCTGCTACAGAAGCAGAGGGCTTCGGCTTCTGCGAAAGAGGGGTTTCAGCGTCTTAACGACCAGTAATTAAACCCTACTCGGAACACTCAGTATTTCCATTTTTTTTTTTTTTTTTGGTTTCCGCGTGGGGTTCTGACTTCTGAGGTTATGATGTGTTTTTCGTTTTTTGAAATTATCTCTGGGTTCTTGTACTCTAACATGGGCCTGTACATAAGCCTGAAAGTTGATGGTTGGGCCCCGAATGAGAGCTAATGTTAGCCCAAGTTGATTGGTCCAAATAATAATAAGACCTGGTAAGGGTGCAAATTTACCCATGATCTTATTTTTCAGATGCATCTACTACTTTGACCTTTTTGGTGCTGCAATTTTTTTTCATAATCTTATTTTTTAGTGTAATTTGACTTCTAAGAAGTAAAATTGCATCCAAAAATCGGGGATAAAATTACAATAAAAAAATATTGTTAGTGAAATTGCACCACTAAAAATATCAAAGTGTTGGATGCACCTGAGAAATAAAATCATAAGTAAATTTGCACATTCATTCGTAAAATTTTAGATTAGCCACTAAATATGAAACTTGATTCATCTTATTAAAATTATAACTCTTTTGAAAAAATACTTGAAACTTGGTTCATCTTATTATGACATCCCATTGGTAGGACCGAAGCACCGTTAATTAATTTGATCAAATTATAGCAATACTAAAGAAAGTATAAAAAGCAGAGGCAATGCATGCATGTATATATTGAAAGGGAAAATTACACACAAGTTTCACAGAAGACAATTAATTTTGAAAAAGTCCCTCAAAATTCCCAAGTGTTTCCTAAGTCCCTAAGGACCTCAGAATAAAAAATTAAAATTGTGAAATTATGTACTTACCCTCACCAAATGACAACATGCACAATTACAGTTACAATCTACATAGTAGTCAATCACAACCTATATTTGAGCCATTCACAATATACACAAAAGCTAATCACAACTTACACTCAACTGAATGATAACATGCACAGCATACAGTCACAACCCACACAACAGTCAATTACAACTTTTTTAATTAGTGAGAGTAAGTAGGTAATTTCACAATTTTAATTGTTTGCTTTGAAGTAGTGGGGACTTAAGAAGCATTTGAGGATTTCGAGGGACTTTTTAAGAATTAATTACCTTCTGTGGGATCTGTGTGCAATTTTCTCATATTAAAATGACTGAACATGGTAAAATGCATGTAAATAAATTGGTTAGTTGCTTCTGAAAATTCAGTGATGTGCGTGAGTGGATGAGGGAGAATGTTTAAAGATATGGCGATTGATAAAGATATCATAGAATTATTAAATAATATACACTTTTTAATCAGAGATACATGAGATGCATAAAAATATCATAAAATTTTAAAATAACCAAATAATTAATCTTTATTTCTTTATAAAATATCACACAAATCAAGCAGAGAAATCTTCTCTTTTATTATTATGGAAAAACTTATCCAATCAAACATGATAATGTGTACTTTTTTATTTTATATGAATTTATAATTAAATGTTAGTATTTTAAAAATTGGACACATTATTATTATTTTTGCTATATAAAGTATCATTGACATGATGTCTGGCGACCCAAAAAAAAAAAAAAGAAGATATGATGATGACCTTTGTTTGTGGGTTATTGTGTGGAGCGTTTATGGCGGACGCGTAATGTGACACCAAGGACGCGCTGCCTTTTGTGGGCTCTTCGTGAGCTGATCGAATGCTTGAGCGTGCCGTCAAGGATGTGGGCCTTCTGCTTTGAGTGGGGACAAAAAAGGGAAAATTACACTCAGGTCCCACAGAGCACAATTAATATCAAAAAGGTCCCTCGAAATCGCGAAATGATTTTGAAGTCCCTAGGGACCTGTGTGTAATTAATTCTAATTGTGAAATTACCTACTTACCCCTGTTAATTTTATTGCAGCAATTCGTTTACAATCTCAACAGTGGCTGTTAACAACTCGAGAAGACGTGATTGACAACCTCGGCAGTGCTCATGACAACTCACTCTGTGGAATGCCAGGGGCGTTGTTGAGGTTGTTAACCACCTCTTCTCGGGTTGTTAACAGCCACTGTTGAGGTTGTAAATAGGTTCTAATTTTATTGCAGTAATTCGTTTACAATCTCAACAGTGGCTGTTAACAACCCAAGAAGACGTGATTGACAACCTCGGCAATGCTCATGACAACTCATTCTGTGGAATACCAGGGGCGTTGTTGAGGTTGTTAACCACCTCTTCTCGGGTTGTTAACAGCCACTGTTGAGGTTGTAAATAAGTTCAAATTAACAGGGGTAACTACGTAATTTCACAATTAGAATTAATTACACACAGGTCCCTGGGGATTTCAGAATTATTTTGCGATTTCGAGGGACCTTTTTTATATTAATTGTGTTCTGTGGGACCTGAGTGTAATTTTCCCGACAAAAAATGTCATCCAAATTCTATTGGAAACTGAGCCAGTGAGCATCATGACGTGGGCAGTGACTTATTAAGGTGTTTAGATAGAAGTAAAATTATGATTTTACCCATGATTGGTCCAAATAATAATAAGAGGTGCAAATTTACCCATGATCTTATTTTTCAGATGCATCTACTACTTTGACCTTTTTGGTGCTGTGATTTTTTTTCATAATCTTATTTTTTAGTGTAATTTGACTTCTAAGAAGTAAAATTGCATCCAAAAATCAGGGATAAAATTACAATAAAAAAATATTGTTAGTGAAATTGCACCACTAAAAAATCAAAGTGTTGGATACACCTGAGAAATAAAATCATAAGTAAATTTGCACATTCATTCGTAAAATTTTAGATTGGCCACTAAATATGAAACTTGATTCATCTTATTAAAATTATAACTCTTTTGAAAAAATACTTGAAACTTGGTTCATCTTATTATGGCATCTCATTGGTTGGACCGGAGCACCGTTAATTAATTTGATCAAATTATAGCAATATTAAAGAAAGTATAAAAAGTAGAGGCAATGCATGCATGTATATATTGAAAGGGAAAATTACACACAGGTTTCATAGAAGACAATTAATTTTGAAAAAGTCCCTCAAAATCCCCAAATGTTTCCTAAATCCCCAAGGACCTCAGAGTAAAAAAAAAAATTGTGAAATTACATACTTACCCTCACCAAATGACAACATGCACAGTTACAGTTATAATTTACATAGTAGCCAATCACAACTAGGGCTGTTCACGGGACGGATCGGGACCGGGACAGGCCCGTCCCGGTGAACAGTAACGAGACAGATTTTCTGTCCCGTGTCCCGGCCCATCCCGGGGTTGTCCCGGTCTCGGTCAGGACGGGACCGGGACGTCCTGAACTTTTTTTTTTAAATTTTTTTAATAAAATCTGTTTTTTTAATTATATTTTTTTGGGCTTAAACCTTATCAAAACACATCTTTATTTTCTTTTTTATTTGTTTGGACACTCTTAAACAAAAATTCAAAATATTACATATAATAATCATTAAACACTCTAAACAAAAGCTTTTAACACAATAAAAACTTGCTAAAAATTCTAATCATCAATAATCTCAAATCATTAACAAATATAAAAACTCTAAATAAATATATCCATAGTTCCATACTATAATCTCAAATCTTAAAAAAATATATAAAAAATAATATTATATAAATAGGATAAAAAATTAAAAAAATTAAAAAAAAAAGGAACCGGGACGGGACCGGGACGACCCCGTCCTGTGTCCCGTCCCGTCCCGAAAAATTTTGGAATAGATCCGTCCTGTCCCAATAAGATCGGGACCGGAACGGGTCGACCGGGACGGGCCGACCTTAAACATTCCTAATCACAACCTATATTTGAGCCATTCACAATATACACAGAAGCTAATCACAACATATACTCAACTGAATGATAACATGCACAGCATACAGTCACAACCTACATAGCAGTCAATTACAACATTTTCAATCAGTGAGGGCAAGTAGGCAATTTCACAATTTTAATTGTTTGCTCTGAAGTAGTGGGGACTTAGAAAGCATTTGAGGATTTCGAGGGACTTTTGAAGAATTAATTATCTTCTGTGGGATCTGTGTGTAATTTTCTCATATTAAAATGACTGAACATGGTAAAATGCATGTAAATAAATTGGTTAGTTGCTTCTGAAAATTCAGTGATGTGCGTGAGTGGATGAGGGAGAATGTTTAAAGATATGGCGATTGATAAAGATATCATAGAATTATTAAATAATATACATTTTTTAATCAGAGATACATGAGAAGCATAAAAATATCATAAAATTTTAAAATAACCAAATAATTAATTTTTATTTCTTTATAAAATATCACACAAATCAAGCAGAGAAATCTTCTCTTTTATTATTATGGAAAAACTTATCCAATCAAACATGATAATGTGTACTTTTTTTTATTTTATATGAATTTATAATTAAATGTTAGTATTTTAAAAATTGGACACATTATTATTATTTTTGCTATATAGAGTATCATTGACATGATGTCCGGCAACCCCAAAAAAAAAAAAGATATGATGATGAATTTTGTTAGTGGGTTATTGTGTGGAGCGTTTATGGTGGGCGCGTAATGTGACACGAAGGTCCCGCTGCCTTTTGTGGGCTCTTCGTGAGTTGATCGAATGCTTGAGCGTGCTGTCAAGGATGTGGGCCTTCTGCTTTGAGTGGGGACAAAAAATGTCACCCAAATTCTATTGGAAACTGAGCCAGTAAGCATCATGACGCGGGCTGTGACTCATAACGTGATTAGGGGGTGTTTAGATAGAAGTAAAATTATGATTTTAAAATATTTTTACAGTATACGAAGTAAATATGTTAGAAATTTTGTTTTCATTTGCGAAAAAGCGTTTTTGGAGTTGCCTAAACGTCCCCTAATTGAAATTCAAATCTTTACTAGCAAAAATACTTACATATAATACTTGATAGTATTTTAAATAGATTACTTCTAACAAAAGAATATGTAACTAGTAAAAAAAAAATGTTTAGCCTTATATATTTAATATTATCTCCAGTCCTA